ACGGACTGAATATCTCTTCTCCGCAGCTGACTTAGGCCGACATCTCTTAGCTAACAACTGAGCACCTGTCGGGTGTCAGGCTCCAAAGTGAGGGATGACGGCCATGCCAGGCCCAAGTCCTGTCTTGTTGGCCTTGTACGCATAGGTCTCCCTACGCATAGGTCTCCCCTGAGACCTGTTCAACCTTGCTCCCCACCCCTGTTCTTCTCTCATCCTTCCACAGCCTAGGTGCCATTTCTCTTCTCCAGGTTGAAAAGGAAGCCAGGAGATCAGGGCTTTAGTTTCAGGGCTACCACTTGCAGGGCAATGATGCAAGACAAGCTATTTCTCCTTTTTAGGCCTCAATGTTTCCTCATCTGTAAAATGGAGACAAGATATTCACCACTGAAGGGTGGGTGCTCTGAAGAAACAATAAGAACTTGCATGTAAAAAACCAAAAATAGATGGACAATGACTGTAATGGGGTATATGGTGGGGACTTGATAATGGGGGGGAGTCTAGTAACCATAATGTTGCTCATGTAATTGTAGATTAAGGATACTAAAATAAAAAAAGGGAAAAAACCCTAACATACAGTAAACACTCAATATTATTTCCCTTTCCACACTATTTCCCATCCTCTCAGGTGGGCAAAATTCCTTTCTCATCATACCAGGGATCTGGTACCAGGCAACCCAAGGTGCTTCCAGTTCTGTGTGATCTTAAATGTGGGAATTAAAAGTCAGAGTGTGTGTAAGGGGGGAGAGGGGAACCACATTATGAATGACTCTGAAAGGTGAGGAAGGAGAGAATACAAGAAAAATAGAAGTGCATCCTTAGATCTTAATGTAGCATCTGCCTGTGGTTCCTCTCCTCTTACAGATAAGGAAATTGAGGCTTGTGGTGATTATACCGAAAGTGACAGGCAGAGCACACTGCTAGGACCTTCCTCCCATGAGCCCTCTATTGCTCATCTCCTCACCCCCTTTCTTCCCTTGAGGAGGTCTGGGATAGTGACAAGGAGTGTGGGAGAAAGAACAAAAAGAAAGAACCTTCACGGAGTCAGGACCTTTCCACTAGACTCCATAAAATTTTAACACGAAAACTTCCTCAGAGTAGAAGGTGCATATCACATGCAAATTATATGCTAATCACATGCTAATCAAAAGTCTGGGCTTCAGAACTCAGACACACACCTGCTGTAAGCCCTGGGGGAAATTCTTGGGAGACCCTGGGTCCAGGACAGGATAGGTGGGGATGGGTTCCATTTAGGGTCAGGTTATGGAGGTAGGATTCATTTTAAGATCAAAAAGGAGTCAAGTGTGTAATGTGGATTAGGGTTAGGGTACTGCAAAGTTAAGGGTGGAAGTTAAAGGATTTAGACTGGGCTGTGCTTTTATATAGGGGAGGCTAGGGGACTCTTCAAAGGCTTTTTCCCCTCTCTCCTCCGGTCCCTTTCTTTCCTTCCCCCCATAAGCCTTGTCATCTCCTCCACTGCCCCTTCTATGTCCTGCAGCTCACTCTTCTCTGCTTACTTCCTATTTCCAACCACGCCACCTCCCTGGAGTCTCCCAGTTTGGTTGTCTGAGGAGCTCTGAGTAAACCATCCCAGACCCTAGCTTGGGTCCCAGCATTGTTTCCTGAGCCCAGACATTTGGCTTTTGGCCCCAGAAGCACCGGCTGGCCTTGACCCTACCCAGGTCCCTCCTCAGCCGAATGTGACAGCTGCAGGAGAAGCAATAAGGACCTGGTGAGCTGGCAGCTTCATTCCAGAGCGCGGGGAAAGAGCAACAGAACATGAATAAATTCATGGAGCTGGCCCCTCGGCTCCGTGTGAGTCAAGCCTGCTCCCCCCCCCACCACCACCACACACACCCACTGCCTGCCGCCTGCAGGGCTGCTGGTCACCGCAGCTCACAGCCTGGGCCAGGGATGGGAGGAGAGGGCAAGCTCCGGAGAGAAGAGGGCTGGGACCTGAAAAGGGCTGAGGTGAGGGGCTCAAAAAGAGGGCCTTGGTGCCTGGCAGAGTTGGGGTTCGGGGAGTGGGGCTGAGCAGAGAGGGCCTCTGTTGAGCGGAGGGAGAGGAGGGGAAAGGGGAAGAGGAATGAGGCGGGTGGCAGGACCTGGGGGCGATAGGGCTTGAGGACCAGGCCAGGGAGGCCCATGTGAGTCCTGGCCTGCTCTCTCCTCTCTGATCCATCCATCATCCAGCCTGGGGGAGCAGATCTGGAATTAGACATGCAAGGGGCCGACATGGCCCTCAGCCCCCCGAGGAAGACAAATGGCGACAAAGACCTTGAATAAAATTTGTATTTATGGTTGGAGGAGGAGGCCCCTCCCCCACTGGCTGCCAATCCTTTCTCTCCCAACCCTTTCATGCATGTAGGGGTCTCTCTCCACAGTGGCCTAGCCTCAATGACTTTTTTCTCCCTGCATCATTATGGGCTGGGAGGTGCAGAGAAGGGGAAGAAGAAGCAGCTGAGGAAATCACCTTCCACCCATATGCATGCCCTGATGTGCCCTGTGCCCTCCGTTTTACACACCGGATCCCCAGACATTACAGTCCTGGCTTATCCTTGCATCTAAGAAGTCCCTTGTAGCTGTCTACCTCCAGGGTTTCCACACCTCTCCACTTTGGCCAGTCCTGGAGCCTTTTCTCCAAGCCTCTCTGTGAGGAAGGTCCCTGTGAATGAGGGCTTCACGGGGTCCCTGTGAGAAAGAAATTTCCCCCAGAAGGGCCAACCTAAGGAAGAATGCAAACACTAGCATTTTCTCTGGATCCTGACCCCTCATAGAGAGTGATCTATCAGAGCTAGTGTTCCCTCTTGGTCACTCGGAACCACCGACACACTCATAGCAGGATGCCTAGCACTTAATCTGCATTTCGTTACATCGATTTGCATAACTACCTTGAAATCCCTCCCCTAAACATTTATTACGTGGGGTCCAACTTCTCTGGGTTCCCAGCTAAACCAGACTTGAGGAAGGCAGAAGGGGCAGAGATCCTGTGGCTGGACAAGGACTGGCACTAGGACAGGGGTGGGACAGGCAGGCTGTGCAGAGCGAGTGGGACTAGAGCTGCTTTCTGACTCTCTCCTGTAGACAGTACTCGTCAGTCCTGAGATAGAAGAGCTGGCATTTCTGGAGTCCCACTTTGAGGACTAAGAGGAAGACAAATAGAAAACCTCCCTTCAAACAGCCCTCATATACACACAAAGACAACACACAATACACAATCCCACTCACCCAGGGACACAGGAGGCCAGGGTCCTGGGGCCAGGTTCACACTTGCCAGCACACTGTCACAATGCACAGGCCCAGAGTCTACCACTCTGCTGGAAGGTCTGCCCCGCCCCCGCATCTTCCCCACAGTTGATATGTCACATTGGAGTCCAAACACGGACCTGGGTGTCTCTCTGCAGCGCGCCATTTACATTTCTCTCTCGATCTGTCAACCTGTCTCGGCACCCGTCTCTCTCTCTCCGTCTCTGTCTCTCCCTCTCCCCCTCTGGGGCTGTCAGTTAATCTCTTTTCCAAGCTTTGTCTCTGTCTCTGCTTCTCTATCTGGCTTTCCGTCCCTTTGATTTCTCTGTCTCTCCTTCTCTGCTTTCCTGTCGGTTTCCTGCTCTTTCCCCCAGGCTTGTCTGTTTTCTTACTCTCTGCTCTCTCACTCTCTCGGCTTCTCTGCGCGCCCCCAACACTGGGGATCAAGGGTAGGGGTGGCTGGAAATTTGCCTTGTCCAGATCAGGCCAACACGCACCCGTTGAACCTGAACCCCTTACTCTGTTATTCGGTCAGGGGCACTAAGGGGTGTGGGGTGGCTAATTCCTATCTTTCCTAGCCCTTCTTGGTGTTTGTGGGCTTTTATTTTCTTTTTCTATCTTTTTTTTGTGGGGAAAGTGGGGACTCTTTCTGGCCCTGGAATCCACAGCTCCCGTGTGTGTGTGTGTGTGTCTGTGTCTGTGTGTCTGTGTCTGTGTCTGTGTCTGTCTGTCTATCTCTACCTCTTTTTAGCCCTTCGCTGTTTCTGGCTCCCGTGTGTGTGTGTGTGTGTGTTTGTGTGTGTGTGTGTGTGTGTGTGTGTGTGTGTGTGTGTCTGTGTCTGTCTGTTTATCTCTACCTCTTTTTAGCCCTTCGCTGTTTCTGGCTTCCTCTGGGCTCTGGGAATACCAAACTCAGGTAGACGGTGAAAGTAAGGATAGCATGGGGCAGTTAATCCCTGCAGAGTCAACCTAGAGGCTCGGTGGGGGGATCCGCCGCCTGCCCCGCCCCCGCGCTTCCTGCTCTGGGCGCCAGGGGTCGCTCCGTCCCTCGGCCGCTTATAGCAGCTCCCACCGCTCGGCGGCTCACACCACCCGCACTGCTGCCCGGGGAGGGAGGGGAGGAAGGTAAGGGACGCAGTGAGCGAGAGCGCTAGCAAGCAAGAAACGCGGGCCAGGGCTTTAGCAGGCGCTGGAGCAGCGACTGGGATAGAAAGGCGGGTCAGTAACTCTCCAAGAGCCACAGAGCCAACCTGCAAGCAGGTCGCATCCCGGTGGGCGCCACCCGCAGCGCAGAGCGTTCAGCGCGCGAAGAGTAGTCCCGGCTCCGGCCAGGAGCGATCCGTCTGGGCAACCAGAAACCTAGGCGCCGCCATCCTTGAGAAAGCAGCTGTCCGGAGAGCAGGCATCCTAGATCTGTAAGAAATCAGCCGTCCGAGAAGCCGCGGGTTTCAGGGCCCGGGAATGTTAGACTAAACAGGAGGGTAGCAGAGGGCCACAGACTCCAAACTGTCGGGCGCTGCCCCTGGCCCAATCCAAGGGGGCACCTCCGCCTTTAAGGAAGGTTCAGGGAACGGCAGGGCCGAGGCGAGAGCCCGCAGAGGCCGGGGCGTCTGGGCGCAGCCGTCGGGGGAGTCTAGACCCAGGCCCAGTACAGCCTCCGCCTCCGGGGCCCGCGGACAGCCCCGGGCCTCCGCCGCCATTGCGCCCAAGAGCGAAGAGGATCTGCTAGCCCTGGCCGCGTCGCGGCTTAGCCGCCGCAAGCGGGTGGCGGGCGCGGCCGTCGGGGTGGCCATGGTGCTGCTGCTGCTGGTCGCCATCCCGCTGCTGGTGCACAGCTCCCGCGGGCCGGCGCACTACGAGATGCTGGGTCGCTGCCGCATGGTGTGCGACCCGCACGCACCGCGAGGCCCAGACCCCGACGGCGCGCCCGCCTCGGTGCCCCCCTTTCCTTCGGGAGCCAAGGGAGAGGTGGGCCGGCGCGGGAAGGCAGGTCTGCGTGGGCCCCCGGGCCCTCCAGGTCCCAGAGGGCCTCCAGGAGAGCCCGGCAGGCCAGGTCCCCCGGGACCTCCCGGCCCAGGCCCCGGTGGAGTGGCGCCCCCTGCCGGCTACGTGCCTCGCATTGCCTTCTACGCGGGTCTGCGGCGGCCACACGAAGGTTACGAGGTGCTGCGCTTCGACGACGTTGTGACTAATGTGGGCAACGCTTATGAGGCGGCCAGCGGCAAGTTCACCTGCCCCATGCCGGGTGTCTACTTCTTCGCTTACCACGTGCTCATGCGCGGCGGTGACGGCACCAGCATGTGGGCCGACCTGATGAAGAATGGACAGGTGAGATGCCCTCCCCCACTCAGCCCCAGATCCCACGCGCACTCGTTAAACAACCCGAACCCCTCCCCCAAACAGCATCACTGAATCCAGGGAAGCCAGGATGCCAAGAACTTAGAAATCCCTTCATTTAGCCAAAAACGAACTGGAGGCCAGAGAAAGAGAACGGCCTGTGCAGGATCCCACCGAGCGTTAGGATTGGGGTCAGAATTAGAGCTCAGGACTCAAAACTTAATGTCTCTGCAGCTGCTACCTCACACTCCAACTGTGGGCAACGACACCAAATCTCTGGTGTCTCACCCTGCCAATTAGCCTCTTTTCTCCTCTTGTCTTGGGCCACCCTCTTCTGGGGCAGCCCTCCTGGCCTTTGGGTTTCCCAGCCTCGTGCTGGGCAAGTTAAATGGAGTCTGGTCCCTTCGAATTACAATGGAATCCCGCTCTCAGACAGTGGGCAGTCGGCAGCCGTTCTGTGTGGGAGGCATTCAGCTTGAATTTTCAAGGAAAAGATGAAAAAGAAAGAAAACACTTGCTCATTTGCCAGGCAACTCCATTGCTAACCCCAAAGCCTGCAGCCAGTTCTAGAGGGGTTCTTACCATCCGCTAATCCTGAGTTGGTAGGCAGAGGTGGGAAATGGTGTGGCAGCCAGGCAGCTTGAAAGAACGAATTTGGAGGAGGAAAGAGGAGAACAGATTAAAGCGAAGTCTTGGACCCTGGCCTGGTGCCATAGGCCGCACATCCTCTCTGGCAAACTCTGGCCTCCAGGCTCTACTACTCCCAGCATCTATAGTCAAAATCAGAGCCACGGCCGCTTTGGCTTGGGAGACTATCCTCAAGGACTCAAATCCAGGACCCAGACACACATAGAGGTAGCAAGGGGCCATAGAGATGGCGATGGGGGAAGGTGCCTGGGCACCCCCCCCCGCACCAGCCGCAGGGGGTTAGGTTGGGACTGAGCAGTGTGACCTCCGAGTGCCCTGCACGCGAGGAGATGGTGTTGACCGTGACGCATTAGGCCTGCTGGACCAGCTCTCCGAATCTCTGGTCCTGCTATGGCTGCAGCGCCCTCCTGCTCCAAGCCCCGCAGGCACTGCACTGGGGTCTCCTCCCAGCAAGGCTCCCCAAGAAACCAGGGAAAGGGAGTGTGTCGTTATGGGAGTGGCATAGTGTATGTGTGTAAAGGAGTGTGAGTGTGTGCCGTGGTGCGGGGTGCGAAGATGAGAGCATAGGGCGGCGTCTATCTGCATACGGCACTGGGTAGGTGTGTGTGGTCTATGCCAGGTATCCGGGAGCAGAAGGAGGGGCGAGGGTACCTATAGTGTTTCGGTTTCGGGGGGGGGGCGGGCACCACGCGGCTCCCACTTTGTATTCTGCGGAGACGGCGCTGCGGCCCAGGGGACGGTAAATAGTGATTAGAATAATGATGAATAATTAATGAGTTAATAACCAGCTCCCGCGGGACAGTAAGAGGGGGGGTCCGGTGGGAGCTGATGGCCTGAGGCGACCAGCAGCTGCGAGGCCAGAAGAGAGGAGGGGCTACCTGTTGGGTCGGTTGGCAACCCACACGTCCGGGCGCCAGCACCAGGAGAGGAAATGGGCACCCGGGAGGTGAGCATGCATCATTGCACCATCCCGTGGCCCGCACCCTTGCCTGTAACACAGACACATACACCTGTGTCCTATCACTGAGGGAAGAGAACACGAGTTAGGTCAGTGCTGGCTAAGAATCTTAGATATCCTGTAGGCTAATTTTATTTTTAAATGACGATAAAATAGCAAACTCTGTATAGTGTTTTCTACGTGCAGAGCACTGTTCTAACGCGGTTCACATGTAGCAATTTATTTAATCCTAACAACCTTGTGGGGTAGGTTCTATTACCTCCCACTCTATAGATTAAATTGAGGACCAGAGAAGGCGTGAAACTTGCCGGAGTGAGCACAGCTAGTGAATGGAGCTGCCCTTTCCTTGTCCTCCCAGCCCCTGAAGCCTGCTACCGTCGTGCCACGTTCACAGACCCAACTGCATTTCCTCTGCACAACCCCTCTCCTCTCCCCAGCTCCTCACAGGATCTTAGTGGACTTTTCTGTCCTCCCTTGCCAGGTCCGGGCCAGCGCCATTGCTCAGGACGCGGACCAGAACTACGACTACGCCAGCAACAGCGTCATCCTGCACCTGGATGTGGGCGATGAGGTCTTCATCAAGCTGGACGGAGGGAAGGTGCATGGCGGTAACACCAACAAGTACAGCACCTTCTCTGGCTTCATCATCTACCCGGACTGAGCAGGGCCGCATCCCCGCGCCCCGCCGCCCTTCGCCTCTGCTCCCCTCCTCCCCACTTCAGCCGGCCTCACTCCCGGCGCGATCCCATCCTCAGAGAGCCTGGCGGCGGGGCGGACCCTCCGGGGGCGCGTTCAGCCGCGTGGACGGCGAGCTCTTGGGGACAGGCGGCTGGAGAGTGGAGGAAGCCGGGCAGCATGGGAAAGCACCGTCTGCGTCTGCTTGCAAGCCGGGACGGAGCAGGGTGGAGGTCTTGGCCCTCTCTTCTGCTGGGAGCTGGGGAACAGTTTCATTAGCGGGAGCTCAGAGACTCCAAAAGCAGACGGGAAGTATGGCACGTGGGGAGGGAGAGAACAGAAGCGGAAAGAGCCAATCCAGGCGGAACCAGAGCACACGTTAGGAGTTAGGACGGGGTAGGCGCTGGTCCCGTCATGACAAATTTCTCTCCCCATCCCATTTCATCTCCATTTTCAAGCTCCAGGCTTTGGCCTTGGCAGCCTTCCTGTGAACTGGAGGAACCGGTGAATTCTTTCCTACATTTAAAATTAATTCTGTACAGTCCCCATTTCACCCCCAAATGGGTTAGGCCCTGGGGCTACCGCTGCTGTTGCCCCTTCTAATAAAAGTTAAGTTGGAGAACGTGTGTGCCTCTTGGTGCAGAGTGGGGGAAGGTGGCTGACCCTTTCCTTCACCTTTCAAGGACTTGCACCCTGACTATCACTCTGCCAGAGACAAAGGTTTCGTTATTCCCTTCCCAGTAGGACCTGCCTCCAGGAGTAAAGAGGAGGGGAAAAGTCCAGGGCTTCTACTCTGCTATGGGAAGGGAGAGGTGTCAGCTTCAGGAGAGCTAAGGCATTACACTGTAGGGAGACACCAACCAGTGACACTAACAGGAAGAGTCCAAAGATACGGATCTAGTGCTTCTGTTTTCTGCCTGACGTAGGGACCCAGTACTAAAAGGAGCTCTAGGGGGATGAGGGACTTATTGATGGTTCCTCAAAGTGGCACTGACCTTAAGGAGCAAGAGCAGGTCCCCAAAGGCCCTCATTTGTGCCCTGCCTTCAATTTTCAGGGGTTGGGGGCAGGAGTAGGATAGCTTCCTCCCTTCAGGACAGCTTAAGTGAGGGTGCCTCCGGACCTGGAGCCCAAGGGCACGGCTAAGCTGGAGGACACTGCCACCATGTGGGCAATGGGAGAGCAACAGCTGTAGTTGGCCTGGTTGGACCAGAGGGAAACAAATTTAGACACTTTAGAAACTTTATTGAAGGACAAAAGGGTGTCAGCTTCCAATCTCATGAGCTGGACAATAAATAAGAGCAAAAAAGAAGGAGGGCAGGAGTGGGTGGCTGGATGCCTCATGACAGAGTGTCCTGTGGGGCAGCAGAATCGACTGGAATAAAACACTGGAGAGAGAGAATACCTTGTCACGGCCCAGCCATTCTTGAACTGCAGCCCCTGCCCCACTTCCTACTTCCCATATGTTTGCTGGGCAGACACAGCTTGGCACTGGTTCGGAGGCTCACCAGGGCATCCTGCCATTCGAGTAATGTGGCCACAGGGTTGGAGCAGACCCGGGTGGGGCCTGAGGGAGGGGCTCTGCTGGTGTAGAAGGCACATTCATCATCCAGGCAGGCCTCATGGAAGCAGTGGATGGCCATCAGACATGCACTGAGGCGCTGCCTCAGGGCCATGGTTCGAGGAGCCAGATTGCTGGGGCCTGAGGGCCACAGAGAGCTCAGGGCGGGATCTGGAGTCCTCGCTCCACTCCCACCACATCCTGCCCTTTCCCATACCCCCACCGAGGCTGAACCCATTAGGAGCACAGGGCTTGATGTGCAGCTCCTTGCTCCTTCCTGTGAAGGAAGAGAGCCAGCCTGGACAGGGTAGAAGGAAAGCAAGCACAGGACCACCTGTGGCAGAGCAGAGGCCCCTGCTCCCAGCGAGAGGAGGACCTCCTTTGTTCACAACCCCTTCCAATCAACTCCTTACCTGTCTGGCCTGTTGGGGGCCTCAGAGACTGGCGTGAGCAGATAGGGGGGCTGGCACAAAGTAGGCGTTGGGAGGAGATCAGGCTGGTGGCCGCTGGAGCCCACTGATTGCAGGAGGGCTGTGGGTTGGACTCTGAACTTTTGGGTTCCAGGGAGCAGGCCTCTGAGGCCCCAGGTTCTAACCTAGGGAAGGGCTCTGGGAGTCCAGTCTGCCCCTGGGGACAGGTCTGAAGCAGTCCAGGCTCTGCTGGAGGGCAGGGCTCTGATACCTCGGGCAGTTCCGGGGAGGAGGACTCTGGTATCTCAGGCTCCCTCCTATGGCAGGACTCTGGGGGCCCTGGCTCTGCTGGAGGGCAGGGCTGTGCTTCCCCACACTCCTCTGGAAGGTAGGGCTTTGGCATCCCAGAGTGCTCTAATAGTTCAGGAGGGTGGAAAATCCCAGAATTATGCTCTGAGGCATTCAGAGTCCTAGAAACCTCAGCCAGCACTGGCTGAAGTTCAACCATATCCAGAGAGGAGCCTCCATTAAGGGGGGCACATCTGGACCCTGCCAGCCCCTCTACCTCCTGTCGCAAAAGCTGCTGCAGGATACTGATGCGCTGTGGGTGGGAGAGAGTACTCCAGTGTGATGTCAAGTCTCTGCCCACACTGTTCTATTCCCCCATCCCCCTCTCCACCTGCTTCCCCCTTCCCAGCCCTATCACTGCCCATCAAGCAGCAAAGCTGTTGCCCACACAGACCCACCTGCATCTTCAGCTCCTGGAGGCTGGAGGTGCTACGAGGGTGGGATCCATAATGAGTTACCACAGGTGGTTTACTAGGCCCCTCTTGCAAACTTACACAACTCTCCTGGTCAAATAATCGAACTGCAATCTGCTCCTGCCACATGGAAGGACAGGGGCCATGTGAGAAAGCCAAGCTGAGGTAGGAAGACCAGTCTGAGTTCCACCCTCAAGAGGAAGGGATCAGGTCCTTAATTGAGAGGTCCTAGACTTAGATTAGCAGGGACAGCAGTGAAGCAGGGAAAGCTGGAAAATTAGGTAGCTTTTCCAGAGAGAGCCACCTGCCAAAAAATACTAGGCCTCAGACCAACAGGACAGAAGGAGGGATCTTGGCACAGGAAGGCTTCAGATACTTACCCAGGGTGGGGCAGGCTCTTCAGGGCAAGACTGAGGGGAGAGACCACTCAACTGCCGGGCCTGGGACAGAAGTGAGATGTCTTACTCCCCGAACCCATTCATTCCCCTCCTCCCTGAGCCCTGGCCTATGCCAGCTACCTTCTCTGTCCTCTCTTACCTGCTGAACTCCGGGGGCTGATAAGTAAGGTGTGAACTGGGTTTTGGGGCAAAAGGCAAGACGTTTCAACACTGAATATGAGGTCTGGGGAGAGACAGGGGTGGCTGAGCAGGGACAAAACCTAGACCCAGCAAGGATTCCAAACAGACTGTTCTGCCCTTGCCCAACCCCCAGGAGTTGTGGATACAAACTGGAGCTGAGGGGCCAGGCGAGGGTACACGCTGAGCCCGTCCAAAGGGAGATGGATGGGTGATGGAAGGTGGTACGACACGGCCAGGGGAGGGCCTCAGGAGGGAATCACAGCTGCCCTGTGGAGAGGAACATGGTGGGAGAGTGCTCCCTCCTCCCTTTGCATTCCTAGGTCTTCTTCTCACTACAGCAGTCAGTGGGATTCTTTTAATACTTTATCAAATCATGTCACCCCTCTTCATCTCCTCTCCCCATGGCTTTGCACTCATTTCAAGTAAAAGCCACGATCTTAAACTGGTTCATAAACCCTTACCCGGTCATGGCTCTAACCTCCCTTCCTGCTGGTCTCCTCACTCTGCTTCAGCCTCGCTGGTGTCTCCTTTTGCTAAACCTTAAACACACTCAGCACATTCCTTTCCAAGGACCTTTGCATCTGTAGTTCTCTTGGTCTGAACATGATATCTCTGCATGGCTCACTCCCTCAACTCCTTCTGGTCTTCATTTCATCGCCGTCTTCTCAATGAGATTTATAATCTACTTGAAATTGTAGTACCAAGCCCCCACTTCTATTTCCCCTTCAGAGCCTTGCTTTTTTTTTTTACAGAGAACTTATCCTCACCTACATAATATGTATTTTAGATGTATTTTTTTTGTCTCCTTTATCTTGAATGTGAATTTATTTACCGCTGTATATCCAGAAGCTAAAACATTATTTGGCACATAGTAGCTGAAAATAAATACTTGGGGAATGAATGAATGAATGCTTCTGGCTGAGAAGTGTCATCTGTGTTGCTCTTAGTACTGATCTGATGGTGGTACAAATATATACTGGACTGTGACCTCTCACCCTCAGGCCCTAGATACCTTGTAAACAGGTCAGTCCCCCTCTGGAGAGGGTGTGGGACCATCTAGGGCAAACCCAGACCAATTAACATGGCAAGGCCCAGGACCAGGATTGCCCTGCTCCACCAACAATCCTCAGTGCTGGCTGTTGCTGGGGAGTTAACCCAGGCACTTCCCTATCTCCCTCCCCCATCCCAGGAGAGCCCCATCTCACCCTGCTGTGGGTTATCTCTCGGGTTTCTCTTAATGGTACTCGCTGGGCCAGACCTAGGGGGCCCCCACGGCCTTCATCTGAGCCAGTAACAATTCCACGTTCTTCAGGGAGAGAGGAAGCTAGGAGGAGATAGGAAATGTGCTGTAATGTCTAGAACACACACCAAAGTCTGGCATAGGCTTTGCAACCTCTGAAGAGGGCAGGCCAGTTTGACAACCTTCAATATGCCATCAGAGGTAGGGACCCGTCCAGCATCCCTTTGGAGCCCAGCACCATATCAGTAATCACTCAATAATCTGAACACCTTGAGTGAGCAAGGCAAGTGGTGTTGGCTGGTAGGGCGGGGACAGAACAAGGAGTGGAAGGTCAGTGTCACAGGAAACGGTGGACAAAGGGTAGAAATGGGGACTAATTCCTTTGATATAAGTGCAGTTGGGCCAACCTCTGGCTTACTGAGGTCGCTTCCTCTCGGCTCCTTCTGATCTGGCTTCCCTCTTCCCCCAGCCTGCTGAGCTTTCTATTGTCTAGCTCCCTGCTACAGGCAGTATGCCTGCCCCTGTTTTCTCTCCATGGCCAGACACTCACCAGGCTGGACTGGGATCTCCAGGAGCACTCCTGAGACTTGGCTCACAGCAGTCCTAATGGCAATAAAGACAGCAAGTAGCAATCATTAAGTAGCAAGCATGAGCTGGGCATTGTGCTAAATGCTTTACAAACATCATCTCTTTTAATTCTCACAATGATGATACAACCTCTAAGGATGATACAAATATTATGCTCATTTGACAGATTAAAGAAAACTGAAGCTCAGAGGTTAAGGCAAGCTTGTACAGTCATAAGTGCTAAGAGTCAGAAATCAAACTCAAATCCCATCTATTGCCAGTCTATGCTCCAGCCATTAAACAAAAGAAACAGTACCTCTTATTGTTGTCCCCTTCCTCCCCCTACCACCTGAAGAAACTGATGTACAGTCTGAACCCTATATTCCAAGGGATCACGCTGGGCAGTCACAGGTTTCCCCCTTCCTCTCTTGGGTTGGTGGAGAGTCCTAAAGCTACTGGAAGGCCCCAGATCTGATGGACCCCTGCATCAGACATTCTTTTCCA